AGTAAAACAGAGTCGTTTAGTGAAGCTTATTGATGTGTTTGAGTGGCTGTGGTGTGCATTCGTTTGTGTGATTAAGGAAGTATATTTGTGATGAATGAAGTTTTCGTTAAATTAGACTTGAAATGAATATTTTCGTTCGTTTCAAGTGCGATTTCTCGTTGAAATGATCCTCTCCGATATATTTCATTATTATGAAATTGTTTGAAGGCAGCAGAACCTGATTGAATTCCATACACATTATGCCATTCAACGAGCGACGATTGTAGAGGATACAGTTGAATGTGAACGTAGTTTATGTAGAACAGTTACAGCAATGTGTTAAATTGCGGGGCTGAAAAACTGAGTGATTCCCTTTCAGAAGTCATTTATAGTTATCGAAAATATTCCAAGAAGAAGGGATAATTTTCAAATGTGTTACGAATGCATTTTTCTGAAAAGAAGCATTGCATCAACAAACCTATATGGATCGTACTTTAAAGTCGTTCGCTGCGTCATTATAAAAGTGTTTCGTTGCACATTGTTCACTGATTCAAATCCGATATTCATGTTTAGCGATGAAATTTTTGGTGATGAATGATCAATTCGACCGATTCATGAGTGGATGAGATAATTTCAGATGGAGACGGCAAACGTGCATTCGATCAATAAGTGCGACCGGTGTGCGTGGCGATGTTATTTATTATGCACCATGTGGGAAGCGACTCGGATCTTACGCCGAAGTGATTCGGGTGATTTTTTGGCGATTTCTTTTTGAAACTTTTTGCTGAATTAATAAATTTGGTGAGGAATTTTTAGAATGAAACAGAATTGATTGTGTGGATTGAAACAGCATTGTGTTAATTGATGTCATCGAATTCAAGAGTAATGATGAGCATTGCTTTCAGTATTTGAACAAGAGGAATATAACGTCAATATGTCGTGATCACTTCAGTTTTAGTTGTAAAATTATTGTTGGTGAATTCATCATCATCAGGCAATCAGCCGATGGGTCTGACAAGGTGCCTGATTTGTCAGTTCATTCGTTTTGTTATTCATTATGCATTAGTCATCAAATTCTAAATTCATTTGCATTTGATAAGAATATCCAATTTAAAATGATTGCTTCATTGAATTCATGTCATCATGTGACAACGCTTGAACAGTTGTTCAAGTTCATTGATATTCTTAACCAGTACGAATACTTTTGTTTTGGGCAATAAAATTGAAAAGTCTTCAATCAGATATGCGTATTGATACCGTACATTCAGAAAGCAACTAATGGAACGCAAATTAATTACTCATTGCAGGCAATAACAAAGATCTCAGAAGATGAAGTATTGACTGAAATCGCTCGTCTTTCTGGTGTGAGTGGATCTCGTAAAGCGTCGAATGCTAGTGGTGAACATCCATCAAAAACAAATGGTTGATCCTTCAGTTGATTGATTTGTTCACGCATTCTTTGATTTATAAATGCTTTGTTGTTTTGGTCGATTCGTCATGCATTCAGTGAATCCATTCTACGTGAAATATCCAGCATTCTCAGCATTTCAAAATTAAACGAATATGTATTTGAATTTATTATATTATCTCAAAAATGTCGCCGTTTCCTAATGATTTGATTTGAATTGAAGCAACTCGCATATCGTCCTCATCCTCCTCG